GAAACAGACTTGATTGTGCACGTTCCCCCCACACTCAAGCCTGTAAAATTCACAACTTTTCTTGACTTACCCGCTGCCCGACGGCCAACTCCTTGCCTTGAATCCTCTGTGGTCCCCGATCCGCCTCAAACCTCTGTCAATCCGGATGATGGAAGTTCTGTGGTTAGTAAGCCGGAGTCCTCAGTTGCAGAAGAGGAGATCTTGGCTGTGGGAACAGTGGAAGCTGAAGATGCTCCCGAAACGGAACTCGACTCGCCTGAACCTCTTGATTCGTTGACTGCCTCGATGGCCGAGGGTTCTCCTCCTCCGTCAGAATCCTCCGCCGGTGATCCCGAGCCAGACCCACCCTTGAGTTTCGATCCGTGGAGCCCTGAACTCACGATCCGGCGTTCAGCTCGCTCGAGGCATCCTCCTGAACGGCTTCAGTATTCCCACCTTGGTCGTCCACTACTAAAGAGCATTCACAGCCTGCTTCATGGACTGAGTTCCACTTTCTCTTTTGCTCTTCTGGACGATGAGGATGTGGTTACCACTGTCCCCAGCCAGTCAGTCGTCTGCTGCCAGCCTGGTCCATGTCCGGGGACGTACATAGGATCAGGGGGGGAAAATGTAACCCGGGTCCCTAGCTGAAGCCTCATCCTGCCCCGCTTTATTTTGGCAGGCCCGTTTCCCATATAGCAGCCGCTCCCCGCGGCTCTCTCTCTCTCACTCTCACTCTCAGCTTGAATTGATAGCTGTCAGCAACCCCTCACGTTGCTATCTGTTGTGGCGCTGTTTGAAGACTCTTCAAACTAGAGAAACGGAAAATTAACATCCACATTTGGTCCTGCGGACCCATCCGTCTTTGATCCGTCCCTTTCTCTACTTATTGGTCAGGTTTTTTTTGTGTGTGTACTTCTTTGACCTTTTCTTCGATGGCGAGCTACCCAACCTCCGCTGTATCGCGGTAGGACACCTTTTGTTTTTTGTGAACCTGGATTATTGAACTTTCCATGACATATGGACCTTTTAATGAACTGAACTCTAAAGCTGCGTTCAGACCAAACGCGTTTTCTGCGGCAAAATCGCGTCTGACGCGCGTCTTGGGACGCTTGTGACAAATTGTGGCAGACGCTGTCACAGAGCATCTTGGAGGCGCGTCACACGCGTCCAGGACACTAGAGGGCAGCGTTCTGGAGGCGCGTCAAGGAAGAGCGTTTTGAGGCAGGCCTGCTCTGTTGTCAACACAACTCGGAGAGGGAAGGACACGGGAGCCAGGATTAAGGTAAAAAGTGTAAAATACGCTTTAATTAGGACATAAAAGTTAATTCTAATAACATTTCAGGCGAGAAATACCCCCCTCTATTGTCATATCGGAGGTCTGTTTAGTGATCAAATAGAACATAGTCGGACTTTTCTCCAGTGCAGAGAGCGGGTGTCGGCCAGTGCTCAAGCCGAGAAAGAGCGTCTCAACGCGGGGACACATCAGTGGAGCTCTCACAATCTTAATTCTGAAAATCCGAGGCTTTTGTTACGGACTTTCTCTGTTATAACAATTGTATTGGCAGTAATCATTCGTTTTTACAAAGTCATTGTATATAAACAATGCACTCATATGCGATAAATGATATATGATTGATTTATTTGCTCTGGCCCTCGTTTGTGCATCACTAACATAAATGTAATAACGTGTGTTTTCTGATGAGAAAGGAATTTCCATGGATCTATAATAATAATAAGCACATCCATGGATCTGTATTATAACGAACATCAGTAAAAAGGACACAGGAAAGGCCTAAAACTGCTCTTTTTGAAGTCTTGAAAAGCAACAGACTGTTACTGATCAGATTAGAGTTGAATGTATTCAATTAGAACTTTAAGTACTGCTGACAAATATGTACCTGTGTAAATAATACCTTATTTTTTATGACTCTTTACACTTCAGACACAAAAAACTAAATTATAATAACACCAACAAGTTTTATTTTTTATTTTTTATTTCCAGGTTCTCTATGAAGGTGTCAGAGGCAGACGCCCAGGACTCTGCTGTTGCTCCTGCTGCTGCTGCTCCTGCTGCGGCTGCTCCTCCTGCTGCTCCTCGTCTTCAGAGATTCAGATCCCACTGTTCTAACTATTCATGACTGATGATTAAATAAAACATGAAAATATGTTTGTTGTAGTTCATATTGTTAATCCGCAGTGAAGCAGGAGGTGATGGAAGTGAAGCTGGAGAAATGATGGCGTGTAATTTTGTTGCTGTCAGAGAAAGTCTGAGTTCCATTTCACCAAAAGTCTCCGAAAAAGAACACAAACGTCAAGTTAAAACATGGACACCTCAAAATAAAACACATAAATCCTTCCTGTATTTAATATTAGAGGTACACAGCAGGAGAAACAGACACTGAGGAGAAACAGACACAGAGGAGTATACAGAAGAATAATATACTGGAAATATACACACAAATAAAACTTAGTGTGGCTAACAACTTTAAAGCTTTTGGAAGTGAGACTGTCATCTGCAAATGTCCTTTATTAATAACAAAATAAGCATCTCTATAATGTGCTCTTATTTCATCATTATATTTATCAGACTATTGTATGAAAAGTGATTCATAATAAGCTATATATATATACAGTAAATGTTAATAATTATACAGTATTCCCAGTCTTAGTATGGGATTATAAATTATATACACAATCTATTTTATATGAATACAGATAACAGTGTTAGAATACTACATGTTAGAATACTACAGCTGCTGTCTCCATGGACTGTTTCCTCTGTGTTGCTTTAATTTGTAATTTGTGGGTTTGTTTCTCCCTGTGACATTACAGATTTTGCGCAGGGAAGTATTAGCGATTGTGAAAAGTTTAAATAACTTACCAGAGACACCAACCTCCTCACTAGCCCTCCTCCATGTCACGGTGGTTATAGTCTGCAGGGCTCATGGGCTAACAGCACAGCTTGTCCTCCATAGCTGTTGTCTTGTCGTCCCCCTTGGTCCTGCCGTGAAATGCGTTACCACGTCACTGTTGGAGGAGGCTCCTGATTGGTAGACGCTCGCGTCTTCTCCCGAAAAGTTCAACATTGTTCAACTCGAGCGTCGGCCGCGGGTCACGCGCGTCACGCGCTTCACGCGCATCAAGACGCTCAAAATCTCAAAACGCGCCGCGCCAAACGCGCGAAACGCTCGAAGACGCGCTGCTCGGGAGGCGCGTGACGCGACGCGTGATCTCTTGACGCTCCTAGACGCGCGTCCCCCATGTTATGTCAATGTAGACCCGCCGCTTTGGCCGCAGAAATCGCGTTTGGTCTGAACGCACCATAAAGAAGAGTAATTGAACTGTGATACCAAGACCTGGTGAACATTCCTGTTTTTTTTTAGTTTCCCTCGACTTGGATTGACTTTGATTTTGGTTTTTGGTTTGAGTTATAATTAATAGATAATATAATATATTCCATACATATTATATTATAATATTAATTATACCTGGTTATTTATAATATAAAGAAAGCATTAATCAATACCTGTTATAATATACCTATTGTATTAGTAATATTTATTATACCCTGCCAATTAATTGTTACACCTTATAATTATACCATAACTGATTATCATATATGCAAATTACCTTTGACAAACTTCAATATATACAAACTGAAACCACTACTACTCATTCTGTGTCTCTTATTCACCCGCTTTGGCTCCTGTAGGCGAACCTGGTCTGAAAGCCTGCTCTCTATCTTCGGCCCAGTCAGATCCTTAGCCCAAGGCGTTACACTTGTACCGGGGAAAACAGCTGATTTGATTTTACATTTACACAACATGGATTATTTGTGAGGAAAAATAACGTTTAATGTGTACTTTTACTTGATCTCACTTTTAGAGGGATTTTAGATCTGGTTTTTATTTAGTGAAACTGAATGTTGTGTTGAACTGAAATCATGTTCTTTGAGTTCTGTCACAGCAGGACGTACAACATGCATTTATAAAAGTTAGGTACAGCAGCTTTAAGCCGTTCTCTGCGCTCTGCTCTGTGTTCTCTGCTCTCTGCTCTGTGTTCTCTGCTCTCTGCTCTGTGTTCTCTGCTGTGTTCTCTGCTCTGTGTTCTCTGCTCTGTGCTCTCTGCTCTGTGTTCTGTACTCTCTGCTCTGTGTTCTCTGCTCTGTGTTCTCTGCTCTCTGCTCTGTGTTCTCTGCTGTGTTCTCTGCTCTGTGTTCTCTGCTCTCTGCTCTGTGTTCTCTGCTGTGTTCTCTGCTCTGTGCTCTCTGCTCTGTGTTCTCTGCTGTGTTCTCTGCTCTGTGCTCTCTGCTCTGTGTTCTCTGCTCTGTGCTCTCTGCTCTCTGCTCTGTGTTCTCTGCTCTGTGCTCTGCTCTGTGTTCTCTGCTCTGTGTTCTCTGCTCTGTACTCTCTGCTCTGTGCTCTCTGCTCTGTGCTCTGTACTTTGGCTCTGTTGTGGAATTTCTAAGGAGTGAAATACACAATATTAAATATAAAATAAACAACAAGAGCTGTAATTCAAATCAAAGTGTGGTTTATTATCTCAGTAAATGTGACATATACAGGAAATACAACCGTGTAACCGCGTGGCAGGTCCCGGGTAGATCTGCTGAACAGTGCTCATTCTCTCTCACATTTATAGGATGGAATAAACAAAAGAGTCTATCTATGGCGTCTCTGAGTCCGAGATTAAGCGGCAGCTATGGCCCAAACCCCCCTCTCTTCTGACGTCTGACTCTGATAGACTCTGATATTAGGAAGAATGGTCACTATGACCGGTGAGCCCGCTCTTCTTGCCCCTGATATCAACCTCGTATCTGCCTCCACCCCGTTCATTGGCCTCGCGTCTCTAGAAAAAAACAGTTTAGTTAGTTTCAATAGATTTACTGGCTTTGAACTTTGTCCCAGATATCCTAGGCACTAGGGACTAGGCACTTTCTCATTTTCAGCGGATATAAGTAGAGAACTCTATTCATTTAACAACTTTACAGGATTTAAGGTACATTCTAACAAGCGAACATGGCTGACGAAGAAAACCAATCCAAATTCATGCGCGAAGCAAAGGAGAATCCATTTGTGCCCATCGGACTGGCCGGATTCATGGGCATCGTGGGATACCGTCTGATGAAGATGAAAACTCGTGGAGACGTGAAGATGTCTGTTCACCTCATCCACATGCGAGTGGCCGCCCAGGGCTTTGTGGTCGGAGCCATGACGTTAGGTGTTATTTATTCAATGTACAACGAGTTCTACCTCCGAGCCAAACAACCAAAGGCCGTGACGAACAAGTGACGGACGCCTCTCATTAAAAGTCTTTTTATTTATTTTATAGAAATGTTCAAATATTCGTCTGCTTTTGAACTGAATTGAATTGAATTATAACCAGCTTCTTTCGCCTGAACTAGTTCATGGGACTGTGGACAAAACTGCATCAATAGCAGTTTTGATTCGTAATTTTTTTGTTGTTTTCAAATTTAAAACCTTTTTTGCAACTCAACTCAATTGGGCGGCACGGTGGCTGAGTGGATAGCACTCTCGCCTAGGGCTGCAACTAACGATTATTTTGATAATCGATTAATCAGCCGATTATTTTAACGATTAATCGATTAATCGGTTTATGTACTTATATTTTAGTTTTGCCAATTTTTTTCCAAGTAAATTGTTAACAAAGGGCCTTCATCATTCAACATAGACTTTTTAGAGATTTTAACCATTTTACATATTCATATCCACATCAAAAACATATCTGGAGCAGTTTATTATGTCTTTGTAATCCTTTGTTGAACTCAATGTTGACCATCAAAACAAAACACTGACCGTTACATACTCTAGCAAATTTCACAAGATTTCCAATAATGTTTTCACCATGAAAATCCTTAGGGCTTCTGAAGTAGTTTAAAATCCCGAACAAGGCTTATTTAAGTTGATAAACTGGATAATATTTTTTTTTTTTGTTACACCTTTGTGCAAATTAGTTGAAAGATCAACTTTATGCCTAAAACAGTGAGTGTCAGTCAGTACTGCAGAGAGATGATGTCAGGAGGGGAGAGATGACGTGTGCTGCCCTGTGCTTTGGAATACAAAAGCAAGAGTGTAAGGCTGGGCACTGGTGTTTAGTTGATCTTTAAGGAATCTTTCAGAACGTATTATAAAGAATAAGAATAAAACAGAATAAAATTGCAGTAAAATGATTTTTATTATTTTTTACTGTAAACTAAACACACAGCTTATACCTGGGAAATAGCATAAACTAAGCTGTGTAAAGCTGTGAAATTGTAAACAATCCTACAAATAAAGTGCCAATGGCATGAAACCTGATTGGAACTCACATTTTGTCTGAAAAAGAGCAGCGAGTACTTACAAAAGTGCATTTAAACATTCATTTACCTCTTTCATTCGGTCATATTTAGGTTGCAAGACTGAATTATGAACTGGTAACTGGCTTTAAAACAGCAAAACAGCAATGTTATCAGCTTTTACAACTAAACATTTGCAAACAACATTGTTCTGCTTAATCTGCACAAATAAAAGTCTTTGCCCATTGTGATTTTCACAAGATTTAAATATGTAGTCAGTGCAAAATTCAAAACTTTTATAAAACAATGAAAAACAAAACAGCATATGCCTGATTTGACAGGATTCCAACTACCTGTGGGAAATAAGGCCGAACACTACTCATTTGAGAAAGAACTTTGCATTGCAGTGCAAAAAGGTCAACATGTCCAAATGTTCAGGGCTTAGGCTTGCTCTCTTTTTAGAGGCTATGTTTCCTGCTGCAGAAAACAGCCGCTCGGCTGGTGTGGAAGTGCTTGGTATACAGAGGTAAGACTTTGCTAATCTCGACAAAAAAGGATATTTCACCTCATTCAATTTCCACCAATCTAACGGATTTTCCCCCTTGGGAATGGGCTTCTCACCATAGTACGTGAGGACCTCCTGCCTGACTTTCCCAGTGAGCTCCTCAACATTTCCATCCTTTGCTTCTTCCTCACTGCTGGTGTCGGAATCCAGAAGAGAGTCAATGAAGGAGACAGGAACTTTTTTAGGCGTAGGTGGTGTACGGTCAGGTTCTGTGTGCTGCTGGACACAGGGGGGCTGCAGCTGCTCCATTTCAACTGCCTTAATTTGAACTTTTACTTGAACTTTGAAGCTGTCCTCAGAAGAAAGAAACTTTAGCTTTCGAAACCGTGGATCCAGGGAAGAACTAATGATTACAGTGTTGTGTGATGTGTCACAGAAAGTGGTTTCACTCCTCCATCGTTGTTCAAGCTGTTCTACAGCTGTGTGAAGGAACGCTTGTGCACCTGGTGTTTCAAACTCCATACCTTGCATTGACTTGACCAATCCTTTTACCAATGGTGGCACAGAGGAAATTGTTGTGTATTTTTCACCACTCATATACTCTGTGGCACAGTCAAAGGGCTTCAGGGCTGTGCAAAGCTCTTCAATTAGGCTCCATTGGTCTGGTTTTAAGTCTAAATATTGCTTGCCTGTTTTTGTCACAGATAGGTCCGACAGCGTTGCAGTAACAGGCCACCGTTGCTCAAGTAGGCGGCTGATCATGTGATACGTACTATTCCATCTAGTACTAACGTCTTGGATAAGTTTGTGTTCAGGTGTGCCCATTTGCTGCTGTTTTTGCTTCAGTTTGGTGGATGCAAGCTCACTTCTTTTAAAATGCTCAACAAGGCACCGTGAAGCTCCAACTGCTTTGGCTATGATCTGGTGTTTAAGAGCAGAGATGAGAACAAGCTGCAATGTGTGACCTGTGCATCTGAGAGAGGCCAATCCGTGTTTCTCCTCCAGTAGTCGAGCAGCAGCCACAATGTTGGCCCCATTGTCGTGCACAATAGCACATACTTTTTCACGAACAATTTCAAATTTGTCCAATATTTCTTCAATCCACCCTGCAATATTTTGGGCAGTATGTCTCTCTTCCAGTGGCATAGTAGAAAGGCAAATTGACTCCATTTGCCAGTCAGTTCTGATGTAGTGGCATGTGATTCCCAAGTATGCTTCAGTGGCAACACTAGTCCAAATGTCTGCAGTCAGAGCCACTTTACTGTCAATGGCTGAGATAGCTGCTTTCACTTGATCCACTATGGAATTGTACTTCTTGTCCAACAACTTCGCAAAATGCGTTCTAGAGGGGATAGTGTAACCTGGATTGAATGATTTGTTGGAAGCCTGCTCCTTCCACCATCGAGAGCGGTCGCATGTCCTTCACTAACATGTTCAAAATATCGTCTGTCAATGGTGCACTTTGCTGCGGGGTGAGTATTTTTTTGTTGCACACGAAATTGCTGATGTTGGTTTGTTTCTTCCTAAAGCACACAAAAAATGACAATAAGTACGATTTTAAAATTAAAACGATCATTTTAATTAACAAATCAGCAACAATATTTCACACTGTATGGAATTATATCATCAACCACTTAATCCCCGCATTAACCAAGCGTATTGTGTCCAGTTCAGCTTTTTGTTGTGTTATTGGTTGACTGGCACGTTTTTTTCCTCGCTCTTTTGTTGTTGTTTTTGTCACGTTTTTGTCACATTTTTGTTGCGTTTTCATCCTTGCTATTTCAACGCTTTTTTCCAAGAAGCTTTTATATCCAAACTGGAGAACGTGTGCTCGGTTCAGTTCGGGGGTTAAGAGGTTAAACAATGACAATCATGTGTCGATATACTATGTATAAGAACAGTATTTTTGCGTGTAGTAAACTCACCTTGCCGGGGATTGGTCCTCTGCTTCCACACACACGTGCTTTCGTTTAAGGTGCTCACGCAGAGACGTAGTACTCCCGTGCCAGGCCAAGTCAGTAGCGCAGAGTTTACAGCTTACTCTGCTTTTTTGAGGGTTCAAAGTAAAATGCTCCCACACTTTGGATGACTTCGTTCTTGAGCTTGCTCCACTGCCGCTTGCCTCCGCCATCTTGCTGTATGCTGAAGAGAAGCTGTGCACGAAGCATGTGACATAAAAGGAGGCCAGCTATTGGCTATTCGCTACTTCTCCTGCTGTAAAACCTCCGGTGGCTCATTACTGCCACCATTTGGTCACCGCAGAGTTAAAATATGCACGAAATGAGCCGCTCACGGCAAAATAAAAGTTATTTAGCAACTAATCGATGACTAAATTAGTTGACAACTATTTTAATAATCGATTTTAATCGATTAAATCGATTAGTTGTTTCAGCTCTACTCTCGCCTCTCAGCAAGAAGGTCCTGGGTTCGAATCCCAGTTGGACCAGGGCCTTTCTGAGTGGAGTTTGCATGTTCTCCCCGTGTCTGCTCCGGTTTCCTCCGGGTGCTCCGGTTTCCCCCACCACTAAAAATATGTACAATAGATCTGGCATGTGCCTCCTGTACTGGCACCCCCAATCCCATAAATCACAATTGTAAACCGCTTTGAGACTCCGATGTGCAGTGAAAAGGCGGTATATATAAATAAAATAAAAAATAAAGAAAGATATCCCATTTCATCATTAGATTTATTCTTAAGTTAAATTGATTTATAATCCCAGTAAGATTTCTATAACAGCTCCAAGAGAAACGGTCTCAGATCCAAACCAGTCACATCTAGGAGTGTGACGATATATTGATATCGTGATACTTTCTCACGCGGTCGATTATCTTTATGCTTTTGCCAAGTATCGAGTTTTTTCTTTTATCAGGATCAGTACTTCATATATGGCTACATTACGCATCTCCATTCCATTTATAATAATCTGCTTTGACCTGAACACCATGGGCCTCATTCACAAACTGTTCTTAAGAACAAATGTGTACGTAAATCCTAATTTTACAAAGATCGTGGCATTCATAAATTTCTCTCGTATGGGTATTTGGTATATAAACAAATTCTACGAGTAATCAGGAGCACTCTTAAGCATTCAGTGTCGACATGTTCGCACGCTGGTGTCGTCTACTCCTGGGAAGTTCAATAAAACACAACATTACAGTTATATGTCCGTTATACTGATGTATGGATTTATTCATTACATTTTTTGTGGTAATTTAGCCTATGTTTTTCATTAATTTTTAAATTAAATATGCCAACGCTTTATAGAATATATTGTAAATCATGCGGTCTATTAGTGACCCCATCCTAGGGTACGTTTCTTCATCCACGGGCCACAAAACAATGGCATATATATACTGCTGCTGCAGGAGGTTGTAGATTATAGATTAATCTCATAATATTTATAGATTTAGCTCATAAAGGGCCCTGCAGTCCCTTATATGGGCATTAGTGGGCGGTAACCTATGCTAATGATGCACGTGGAACGCGCGCT